GGATTTTACTACTCGAACAGCGTCGATCTACTCCGGCTCATACCAAACAGTGCATTCGTTCACTGATGCTATTGGGTATGTCCGCCTACAGACACTCACATGCCCATATGAATCTGTTTGAATCAGGCATCTCTGANTTGAACAAGGATCAATAAGGAAGGAGTTCTGAAGTTACTCTGCATTCTACTCTTGTGTACGTTTTTCTAATTGTCGAAATGGTTTCCATCAGTAGTTCGTTGATTACGAAAGTTTTCCAATCTCTCGGACTCGAAGTTTCCTCTTCGTGTATTCAATAAAAAACAGACCACCTGAATCAAGTTTGATAAATACATCTGTTCAATAGATAATAGTCCACCGCAAGTGGTACGTCAATTACTCTTCGCATAACTGGTCCGATTGCCTCATTGCTTTACTTCGTTCTACCTGACTTCTGTTGTGCTATTGTCTTCTATTGTGGCATCACGTTTGGGACAGTTTGTTTCGTCGGTCCCAAAGGACCCGCTGCCAGATTCTCTCGTTCCATTAGTGATACCACATTTTTTCAACAAGCCTTCCACAAGGAAATTCCGATGCATTGTTTTTCCTTCTCCAACTAATAGTCTGCATGTAATCCCGAAACACACTCATCTCAATGAGATCTGCGTGTTCCTGTAGCGATCGTACATTCGTTTTTGTTCATACGCAATTCCAATGAATTTTTATTCTTGCGTACAATCGCACTGTAGCAATTTATCCGTCCTATCTGGGGCCGTCTTTCCACAACCATTGCACTGCGTTTGTGTATGTGCGGCATGTGGTCGCTATTTCTAATTAAGATCAATTTTTTCATTCTCACTTTTGTGGTTTTTCGTCAATCCGTTCTTTTGACATCCTCACATTGCACATTCGTGTCTGCTGCGTAAAATGAATTTCCCAACCTCATGTTAGCTGAAAACCTGCTGCGTATGACATGATCATTATACTGCAGAACCCGCATCGGCCACTGCTCACTTTGTCACCCAACACACACCTTGGGGACATCTTTTTCAGTTACTGATCCTAAAGTATCAACTGGAACGCCGGTGTCAACCTTTTGCAGTCAGAGCGTGCAATACTTAGAACACCCTTCTCTCTCTCACGTCGTTTGTGCGCCAACTGCTGAATGTTTCAAATGGAGACTTGTGAAACCCTAGCGCATTTCAAATTCCTAAAACCAAATTGGTTGAAGATTACATTACCTTTTGTATCCTATCTGGAACTCAATGTGACATTTTATCGTTCTTTTTTCCCTGAGAAACGATTCAACTGTGGAAATATCCTATGGGAACAAGAGAAGCATGAGCTTGTAAGTAGCTTCCCGTAATGAAAGTTTGACTTTGACTGAATACTTAATTCCCTACAGAGGTATTAGGCTTCAACCCTGTCCTCACTAGGCTCCCTCTGGCCTCTAAGCACAAATTCGAGTTCAAAGTGTATTTCAATCGAATCAGCGCATTTCGTGTCGACGACACAGTCAAACAACTAGAACAGCGGTACTTTTCAATTCACGAGTTTATTATTACAATACAACTTCGTTAGTTTGGAATCTCGATAAATATACGCAGGAATAACATTCCCTATGTCGCCACCATGCTATCCTGTGCGATGGAACCCTGGTAAAGTCAGTCCTTGTGACTAAGTCTTGTCGGTCGCTAAGACCACAGAGGCGTGTAATCGGTTATTGAAAGTTCGATTACTGATATAGTTCTTCAGCGTGACCACTCGTGTTCATCGGCTTAGAATGATGGATGGATCGGTATGCATGCTTATTCGTGCACTAGACCGATCAGCCTGTAGATTGTTGATTAGTCACGGTGGTGCTGCAGCGTCGATAAAGCAGTTAAAGCAGAAAGAGGAATGTCGAAGAACTTCGCTGGATTTGTTTTAGGATAATACGTAGCAGCACTGGGGAGCTTTAAAGTAGTTACTGTACAGAATAGTAGTATTGGTTCCGGCCGCTTTTCTAATCTCCACTCTCAACGTCTTCACTTTCACTGTATCCGGCCACACCGTTCGGGATCCAGGATATTGTGGTTGTCAGAAATTCATTGTCCGACACTCGGCTACTCGCTGTTAATCATTTTCGCATTTACACTGTACACTGGGAAAGCCCTATTCACCGCCCTCTCGTGCCGGTGTTTTTCCACCAAAGTGAGAGGACTAAAAGCCTATGTCCGGGGCTACAACCGGGTCGGTACTACTGGTACTACTGGCAGTTCACCTAGGAGAGTTGGCTAAAACTCTGCCTCCAAACTAACCAAGAAGAGGCGTACGACCCTCGTATACACCTGATCGTGGTAGTGGTTACCGGCTGGATTGGGTAACGAAATGTATGGGACATCTGGGACGTTTGATTTCGTCCAAAGTCTGGTTCGATGTACCTAATACCGGCTCCAAATGAACTGTGATTTTCACATCACCTTGCTTCCTGAGGGGTCAGACTTTAGCTAGTCAAAGGCTTCTGTTATGAATTGCCCAAGAACATTCATTTGCCTTGATCTGGACAGCCTAGTAGTTTTGCGCCCACATGCAAACCATGGAACTCCTTTCTTTGTTCTAAAGATTATTAAACTTTGATTCGTTTCGCACACAGTCTAGTCTCAGTCGTGCGTGAAATATATGAATAAATATAAATATAAACAATGAATTTCAGGTGATTGCAATGTAAAAGCGACTCACTGAGACATAATAAAACGTGAAACGGAAAATATGCATCGATCAAGGTGATTGTTTGTATAAAGTGGAGAATATCAATGACATTCCTAATTACGTGTAGGACAATTTCATTTCTGTACAACGCTGGCTAGACGAGCACAACTGCGATTGGTGTTCGTTTTAACGCTCACAGTGTACACAAATACAATCTTCTACTTCTGGTTGCAGTCCAGTAAGATCGTAGATATAAATGGAGAGATGTGGTAATTGGGGAAATACGGGAACAGCGTCCAGTATAGTGATAGCAAATATGAAACTTGAAGCAGTGAATCACAATATGCCTTGGTAGGACCTCGGTGTACCCAGGTGCTCCGTGATACCAGAGCTACGGTGGATTGGCCGTGACTGGTTGTTCGAAGCTTATTTTGTAACAATCATAACAACACGAGTAGTACCGCCAAGTCGTGTGTGGTTCAGTAAAATTTTCCCTTTCCCCTATTTGTTTCTTTTTTCTTCCTTTCAATTTCTTGGACAATTTTTTCGTTCAAAGGTGAGCATGAACGAGCTGTCAATCTGCTCCTCGAGACCAGACCGGACTGTCCAACCTACAACTGGAATATGTACAAGGCATGTCTGTTGGCAGCAAACGCCTCCGGTCGACTTCGACCAAGCACCACACCTAGTTCAGCTAAAGTGGCCGAGGACACTTATATGAGCACGGTGAAATTGGTTGCCACAAATCTACTGTCCAATGGTCAATTGGACGAAGGGATTGAGTTGCTCTGTCTGATTGGCCTATACGCAGATGCGTGCCGCTATCTGGAATCATTCGATCAATGGGATCATTCAATTTGGTTGGCCAAGGTAACATTTCCCTTGAATCCATATCGTGCCATGTAACTGAGGTTCAAACACACTAATCCGAAGATTGCTCGAGAACTATACGGGCCGAACACGGTTACGAATGACAGTCGTTCAATCAAGAAAAATAATGATGAAAGTACAGCATACTTTCATTACCTGAGCTTAAAAATGCTATTTGCAAGCAGTGGGTTCCGCTAGTTACTGCTACATAGGTTGTGGTGGTACAGTGGTTTAATCACTGTCACTGGTGTGCTTTGGACCCTATGATCCAAGGTTCGTGCCGATCAGTAGTCAATTTTACGCTCTGTAAGGAACTGTATCTGGGGTGCGTACAACGCTAAAACTGATCATTGTCACCATCCTCGTAGCAAACTCTCCGAACAGGGCACGTTGGAATGGGAAGCGACACTTGCACTCGCATCGGAATTATGAAATTTCTCCTTCAAACTCGTACTCCACGTCTCTGTGCCGTCATTGATTCGAGGACGTGTTGATGAACTAGTCCAAAATGAATTAAACGTTTTGAAAGATAAATAAAAACTTCCCATATTTTTATGTCTGTTCCACATGCCTCGTCCAGTATATTGGTTCCATCGAAGATCAGTATGAGACAATTAGTATAAGTTTATAAAAATAGAAATTCATAATACTAAAAGCGGATTGAAAATACTTCTGGGTTCTAGTGATTCACTGGATTTCAGCAACTAATTTGGTCGATTGACTCAAATGGGCACCAGCCCCAGGGCATTCAGCGGGGATATCCCAGGTTCGTAACTTTGCTGTCACAGAAGGATTCCTCGGTGGCTCTTCAAACAT